ACTGTGCCTCAAACCATAGCCTGTGTAATCCTTGTTTGTGTAGAAATATGCACTTGGATAGAGTTCACAGAAAGGAAGCCCAACTCAGCAGTGAAATACACCATTAATCAGAGGTTCTAGTGAGATTCAGGCATGTGATATCTATCTATCTAAACTAGGAAATATTTTACATATGAAAATCACTATTTAAGGAGTAAAATAAACAAATGACCAATTCTAGCTAAAATTGTAGAGATTGATTGAAAGTTCCTTAAGGAATAACAGCTAATATCGTTAAATGTTTTACAAGTGGGAAGAATCACTCTAGCAGTTTTCAATTTGTTAATCTGTTTAAACTTCACAACGTCTCTTTGAACTGAGTCCTTTTAGTACGATCACTTTGTCAGTTTGGAGAACACCTCCCAGAGAACTGGCCTTCCTGGCATGATGTACACTCAGGGGGTGGCGGGCGAGGTGGGCCGGTGGTGACATTGAGCTGCAAGTGTCTGGTGGCCGAGACGCAGTGGGGAGCAGGAGGGGGCGCTCTGGACGTCCTTCAGGAGGACACTGAGAGCAGCAGTCCTCACAGACCAGAGTCCCGCTCTGAGCACATCTAACTGACAGACTCACTTTGTTCCCGAGGGCTGGGTGTAACTCAGGTTGGTCAGTGGAGGGTCAGGCTCCTCTACACAGCCCTCAAAGTCTCTCTGCTGTACACAGACCAATCTCAATGTCCTTAGAGAGGCACTGGCCCAGGATCTCTCAGGAAAGGGTGCTCTCATGTTCCTTCCAGAACTCTTTAAGAATTAAATCTGTATCTGAGACCATCTGGAAGCACAAGCAGCTGGCATTCGAGTCCTAACTCAAGACTTTGGTCCTAAGTCAAGACAAAATTCTGGTTATAATCCGGTTGTTCATACATCAGGCCTGTTGTAACTCAAGGGCCCACTGTACCTCTTCAGTGATGCTCAGTCTAAATTATCCCATTGGAGGTGCCAGCTGTGTCATAGAAATTTTGGGAGAAATGATTCAGCCCATAGCCACATCCTTCCTTTTGCCCGAATCTTCACCTTTGATATTGTCCTATTCATGCCATCCTGGGACCTAAATAACCAAATTTGCTATGGGAAATTTGCTATCACACTTTTTGAAATAGGAAATTTGGGGCACTTATTGTTTTTATTTCTGAGTAGAAGGCTGAATGAAGTCAGAGTGCTTGAAGGAGAGAAGGCACCTGTCAATGTAATTTTTCCCTCTGTCCCTGCATGTGTTTCTAGGTTTATCAATAAAAACGTGTGGCATCTGTGGCCATGATGTTGTACAGTCAGGGTTGTGGTCATGGAAGAGCCTCCCTACCTCTTCTGAACTTCTACAGAAGTGTTTCCACTTATTCAACAGAGTTGGGGTGGGGGTGATCTTAGGCCCATGAAACCAACCCGCCGGGATATTTTCTTGAGTGTATCCCATGTTTCAGATGGAGAATCGCCCTTATTGAATCCCATCAAAGACATATCAAAGAAATGTTGTGCTGATTCTACACTTGTAGAGAAGTTTGGGTTATTCTAATGTCCTAAAAGGGCTTTGAGAGAAACATAAATTACAATGTCATTTGCCACAGTGACTCTCTAGCACTTATTTCTGAGCTAGAGCAGAACATATCCTGTGAGAGTCAGGGCAGCATGAGGATCACGCCAACTTCATTCCTCACATGCGTGGGATGGACTGCCACACGGTCACGGCCAGAGGGGAGAGGCAGGGTGGGGAGAGGTTCTGAGGATGCGTCCTTTGGGAAAGGTGGACTTGAGCATCAGGTTCCCTTCTGGAAACGAAAACGCCAATCTGGATCCTGGTGAAATCAATCCCCTTCTCCTGGAATCATCTTGGCGGTCCTGCAGGGATGCAGAGGGGGGGAGAGAGGAGAGAGAGAGAGAGAGAGAGAGAGAGAGAGATTCCTCCCCTAATTCTCTGTCATACCATCTTGGTGAAGGAAGAGCACTTTCTTAATGCTAATTTTCTGAATAAGGAGCAGTTGTTTTGATCTCAATTCATACACACCAAATGAAAACTGTTTAACTGTTTAACTGTTTCTCTTTCTGTACAGAAAACTGAAGCTGCATTTTACCCCCAGGTCTGTTGATGTGAAATAGAGCAAGTTTTTCCATTCAGTTTCAGATTACATTTGCATCCTGATCCAATTCCACCCAGAACAAAATATTTAATGCACAGAGCATCAGCTTCTAACACTGCTTCGCTGGCAACAAGCACCCTGGCTCTCTGAGGCCGGGAGCTCTGCGTCGGGAGAGGATGGAGCTGAGCTCTTCTGGACAGGGATGGAGAATCCTCCTCCACACCGTGAACTCTCCCAGGCGACTCTTCACAGCACACAGTCCTCCTGGGGGCCCTCCAAGTATTGGGGGTCATAACTGCGCTGTTCCAGTGGATACACATTCCAGGCTGTGTACAAACCAGTCACAGACCCAGGATCTGCCTGCAGCACTTGAGGAGTCTTCTCCTGTGAGCTGATGGACTGGCTGAAGCTGGCCCAGAAAGCGACCACCTCCAAACCCATATGTCCATCCTCTGGGCTCAGGTGCTTATTTCTTGTAGGAAGTCACAAAGCTTGGTTGAGAATTTGAATTTCCTTATCGGGCCCTTCAGTCAGGCAGATGCACACCCATGCTCCAAGACTATCGCTGCAATGTGTTTACAGTGTGCCAAGCCTTAGGACGCACTTGCACAGTGACTTCACCTCCTGCCTGGGGTACAGAGCGAGACCCTGTCTTAGACAGACAATAAACGAATAAGCAACAAGCAAATGCATGGCAGTTCTTTAAGGCAGGGATTATACTCGCAATGCTGAGCACCCACTGCATCTCTCTGTTTCTGTCAACTGAGCAGATGTAAATCTATCAGTACCATTGAAATAAGCTCTATGGACACCTTGGGAAATAATCAGGAGAAGTTACTGCAATGGCAAACAAAATGGTACCAAGCCTTAAATTCTTTTCATCTTGTTTCGGGTTTGTTGCTTTCTATTTTGTCCCTAATGAATGTGCTACTCCTCTGATAGAATCATACTTTTATTTCTAAATACTTCTCGGTGAAAACTTTTATTATTCCATCTTTGACAAGTCAGTTATTCAATAAATATTTGTCTGGAAATTTCATCTTTACCACCTTAGTAAAAAAAAAAAATCCCGACAGACCGCTATTGAATGTAAACATTGTTCTCTGCAAATGTATACGACTCTGTGTCAATCGAACAGTACATAAACAGGGCTGAGCTACAGTTTAGGGTATCATGGGAGGCCATGTTTATGCCCTTCTTCTGGGACTTGCAAGGGAAAAGGTGAAATCCTTTCCTCATTAGCTGCTTGCACTTTTGTCCTTGGAGTCTCGCCCAGCCCAGGGATCTTCCCTGGAAATGGCTCCCTGAAGACGAGGGAGGCAGCGCTGTTCTGAGGGCTCATATGGGAGGCGCCTGGGCCATCAGCCTGCTGGACGGAAGGCCTCCCTGCTCTGGTCATGGTCACAGTCGCTCCCTGGGATTCTTTCCAGACCAGACGTCCCGGTAACGCATCCATTTGATCAAGATGGGGAGAAAATTTCTAGAGTGATTTAATTTGCCTGATTAGTGAGAAAGAACGGACAAAAACATCAAAGTAACATATCAGGAACAGCAAATACCACAGAAAGTGTCAGCTTCTTATATTGTTATCTTATTTCTGTAAAAAACTTGAAGCTTCAAAATTTTCTAGGTGGATAATATTGTGTTTATTTTCACAGTAAGTGTCATTTTTAAAATTGGAGAATTTTAGATAAGATAAAATGAAATAGGAATTTTATCAGGAGAATATGCAAATATGTACATGTAAAACATCATAAGCAATATTAGTACAGTATTTAAAAATTGTGAATATAAAGATGGTGGAACCACAGCCTATAACTAATGTGCATATTTTGAAAATCTCTTTGTGGAAGAAATTTGACTTTGAATGGTCAAGTTAGGAAAGCACACTGGAACTGGAGGTGCAGAATTGTCTCTCTCCCCTTCCCAAAACTGGGAGAACATTTATTTTGATTGAATTTTTAATTTGATTATTTTACTGAAAGAAAGCACGTACTCCTAGCCAGCCTCTCACTGCCCCTGGTCTCTGTCTCCCGGGCTCCGGTGCAAGGGCTTCTAAGTCCAGCTCAGGGCCATCTGCCTTCCACCCAGCTGTGAAGGAGACCCGACCTTGGCCTCCTGCTGTAGGTCCACACCTGCATTTTCCTCTGGGAGGCAGATGGCCTTTGTGGACAGAGCCTTCCTTCCTGTCTGGTCACCTGAGTGGAGGAGGAAGCAGGTGTTCACGCTCTACCTGGAGGAGGAAGTGGGAGCAGCAGCCCATCTCTTAGAGCATCTTAGTATCATCTTAGGAGTCATTTTAGCTGTTCAGTTTTGATCTCTTCAGCATCCTAATGTGCCCCACTTAAGTTCCCTAAAAAGTGAAATGTACTTGTAGTTAATGTCAAATGGCATTGGGAACTAAATGAGAATAAATAATACACTAAATTTTTAATCATAATTTTTCATATCCTTTTTCATGTTTGCTAAGACAAGTTATAAACACCGCGAGCACACCCTCCTGAGTTAAAGTCCTTGGAGAGTTTCACAGTGGAGATGTAATTGCTCTGATTTCACAAAAGTTTCTTTCTGTGCCTTTATGATTCTAAGTACTGGAGATTAGTAAGTATAACAAAAAAATTCACCTGTGGATTACATGTGTTAATAGAAGGAAACTGGTAGATTGGTATCAGGTATATGCTAATTCCTTAGGATAGATACTCATATCAGAATCAGATGTCAATTTATATCTAAATCTCTCTATAAGACAATTGAATTTTTAAAGTTCCTGTTCAGTACAGTTTCTGTTCATCTCTAGAAATACTAAACTAAGCATAAATAGGCCATCCAGACAAATAAAGTCTTTTTGCAGTAAATCATGCTTTCAACTTTGACCATTCAACAACTGGACACCATGGGTAGACAGAACTCCACCAGTGTGGCTGGCTTCATCCTGATGGGGCTGACGGACTCTGCAGAGACACAGGTGGTCCTCTCTGTGCTCTTCCTCCTGATTTACCTGATCACAGTGCTGGGAAACTCAGGGATGATATTGATTATCCGGCTGGATCCCCAGCTGCACACCTCCATGTACTTTTTCCTCACTCACCTGTCATTTCTCGACCTCAGCTACTCGAGTGTCATCACCCCAACAACCTTACAGAACTTACTGACTTCTAACAAGAGCATCTCCTTCCTGGGCTGCTTCACCCAGATGTTCTTTTTTGCAGTTTTTGGCACTGCAGAATGTTTTCTTCTCTCCTCCATGGCCTATGATCGCTATGTAGCTATCTGCAGACCCCTGCACTACCCAGTCATTATGTCCACAAGGCTGTGTTGTGCTCTGCTCACTGGCTCCTATGTTGTTGGCTTTGCAGATTCCATTGTGAATGTGGTTTTCATGAGCAGACTGCAGTTTTGCAACTATCACATCATCCAGCACTTTTTCTGTGACATATCCCCTATTTTAGCCCTGTCCTGCAGTGACACTTCTGAGGTTGAAGTTATTATATTCATTTTTGCTGGCTCTAATTTAGTGCTGTCCCTCAGCACCATATCTGGGTCCTATCTGTCCATCCTCTCCACTATTCTGAAAATTAATTCCACTGCTGGAAAGAACAAAGCCTTCTCCACCTGTGCCTCCCACCTCCTGGGAGTCACCATCTTCTACAGCACTATGATGTTTACTTACCTAAAACCGAAGACGTCCTACTCCTTGGGCAGGGATCAGGTGGCTTCTGTGTTTTACACGATTGTGATCCCCATGCTGAACCCTCTCATCTACAGTCTCAGAAACAAAGAGGTGAAGCGCGCTGCCCTGAGAGTCCTGCAGAAGAGATGGGGCCATGAGCATTTAATATCCCAGTGAAGTGAGCATTTACAGTCTTCTCATTGTCCTTTGGGGATTGTGTTGGTCTCTCTCTGGAAGTCATTGTATCACTTTGTTCTGCTCGAGTTGCCCTTACTTAACTAAGCGTGATCTTGGACAGTGCGGTGAGGTATATTTTAGAAATTCATACTGTAAGTGTCAATCATCAAGTACATGTTAAATACGTGTGATATAAGGACAACTAATGTGCAAAAGAAGAAAAACGTGTGTGCCATTTTTAAAATGATCATGCAGTTTTTATGCTTTCTCTAGTTTTACAGAACTTCATAATAAAAAAGTGCATTTTTTCATAGGTAATTGTGTTTATAATATAGAGAGTAGGGGCAGTGGATTTCGTACCATTTGCTTTCAAATCCACCATTCATGCATTTGGATTCTGGGTCTGGACACTTTTTAGTGAATGAGCACAATTAATTTACCAAAATCTTATGACTAATTCCCTTCAACTGGACTAGATGTATGATTACATCATTGTCTGATCAGGAGATAGATGTAAAATTTGTAGGGTGATAAAAGAATGTTGCCCATTCTTATCAGAGGACTTGAATTCCTAGCATATTTTGGGAAGCAGCTGTGTTCGCCACTGTACCAGTAACACTAATGCCTAACATATTCTAGTGCATAATCTTTTTGAAGATTATCACCTGCATGTTCAACAAAATTCTTTCAGTAAATTTAATTGGTCAAATTCAAAAAGCTCACAGAAAACAAAAAAAGAAGCCCAGAATTCCCCATTTTTGATTCACAATCAAGTAAAATATTGAAGTAGAGGTAAGTCCTAGGAAAGTGATCTGTTAAAGTTAGAAGAATGTGGGAAGTGATGAAAATTATTAAGGAGAAGAGCAATAGTAATTTTTGACAATTTTTTCCATGTTCTCTTAAATAAATGTTTATTAATATTTATATTTTCAACGCAATTTCTGTCATTCCTGTGTAATGGTTGCTGCTTTCTGTATTCACTTAAATCTTTAACATCTAATAATCTCTTTGTAATTGAAATCTGCCTGACCAGCACATTCTCACTATATGGGAAAAACTAGGACTCCGACCGTGTAAGGAGTTGGACCTGAAATGCTGTGAAGTCACGGAGCACAGACCCGCGTGCTGTGCCCTGTGTGAGGCGTGGACCTGCTCACCTCGGCTCAGCACAGCTCTCTGAGACCTGAGAAGAAGAAGCTTCAGCCACAGCTTCTTTGCCCGTCTGCTGATGTCTGTGTGGCTGTGATAAAGTACGGAGCAGTTTGACTCCTCTGTTTTACATTTTTAGTAGTGAAAAGTTGCATACAATAATAAAAAGGAGAGAGGATAATTTTGGAATATGTGGTATTTGATAAGCTTAGGTCACATAGAAAAATAAAATATTTAAAAAACTTATTCTTTCTATTCAATATCAAGTTGTACCTTTAAATTTTAAGGTTGTTTGATAATGTGTTGTTTCATTTTCCATGTAAACTTTTTATATAAATATTTTAAAAACGATTATATGGATTTTTTAATCCTATCATATAATGATATGCATTATTATATTTGGTGAAATTTGTTTGTTGTCATAAAAGTATATTTTATTACTTTGACTGTGTAAAGATAACTGAAATATCTTTATTTTTAAAATTAGGAATATGTTCAATTTTACCAACTTGTCTACTCATTAGTTTGTTCAAACCTTGTAAATGTGTACAGTATGACTGAAATTACTGAATCTTTAAAAAAGTTATAACATCCTACACCAGTGTTATATTAAGTTATTATTTGCTCTTCCTGTGGCACCTGTGTTTTTGGAATCGATCCATCCTTGCAGACATTCCTAGTTGTTTTTCTTGACAGTTAAATTAGGTTTTAGTAAACACGTCCTGCTGCCTATGCCATTCGGGCTCCTCATTCACCATAAATATCTCAGCAAGGTGGGATAGTTTTGGGCTCCTCTCCACTCGATTTCACAAGATGTGGTTTCACCTTACTTTCATTTATATGCATTTCTATTACTTAGACAAATTATGCCATCATTTTTTGTTGGGAAAGCAGTCTACTGAATCTTTGAGTTTATAGACAAGATTTAAAGGATGTTTAAGAATTTCAAGGGCATTGGTAAATTTCAATTAAATGAAGACTAACTTATTTTCTGTATCAGGTGGGCTAGAGACCACTCATAGCATGTATTAAGTAAGCATAATATAATCCAATGGCATTCAGAAACCTTTCAGCTATATTTGCCATGGCTGAATTCCTTTCCAACCTCACCGCCCAGCTCTTGTAATGAAAGTTAATTGTCAGAAATAACTTAAGACGTTATCACGGAGTTTAGGGTGCCAAGAAGAATGCTGTGTAATGGAAACATCATTTTTAGGGGATCATAATACACCACGGCAAAACAGGAATAACTGGTTTTGCTGCTGAAGTATTAATGCACAGATAATAATGGGACAATTTTTATACATACATATATATATACATATATGTATATACACACACACATACACACATTGGAGCATGTAACTTCGTAAAATAAAAATGGAAACAAACTACTGAACATAAAAGAAAAAAAAACACCAAACACCTCACAGCAGCAGACTCAGTGATGCATTCTCACAAACGGAAGTATAAAAGTATAAAAAGAGATGTCAGAGCCGATACACACGTGCTTCATAAAGGCTACTTAAATAAATACAAAAGAATTAAAATCATCTCATTTTATTATCAGAACATAGGACACTGAAATTAGAATAAAAACAAAAGAAAGCACAGAAACTTTACAAATAGCTGGAAGTTAAATAACAGACTGCCCAACACACTGAAAAGATGATGCAGTCTGACCAAGATATTTTCATCACAGTAATTTAGGAATGGTTCAGCCTACGTAAATCGATAAATACGTTACATCACATACAGAGAAGCAGGTCGGAAGCCACACGATCTTCCTAATAGGCACAGAAAAGACCGTCACAAACTTTAACATCTCTTCATGAAAAGATAACCAGGAGAGAAAGGGACAGAAGAACTGCTCCTTAGATTAGGCAGAGCTCACAACACAAAACGGGGACGACTGAAATCGGTTCCTGTGATGTTGGAAAGGAGACAAAGGTGCCCTCTCCCAGGGCCACTGTGAGACTAGGACTGGAACTTCACCAGCATAATTAGGGAAAGGAGAGAAATAAGAGGGCTACAGGCAGGAAAGGAAGATGACAGATTATCCCCGTCTGCCAGACCTAGAACCCTTTATACGGAAGACACTAAAGTTCCAGCAGAAGACCTTGAGATCTGATGAAAATAAAGTCAGGAAAATTGCAGGATGTAAATGCAAAACACAATCATCCATAGCTTTCTTCTACACCAACAGTGATCCTGCTGCAGAATTAATCCAGAAAACAGTGCTATCCACAATAGCTTCAAAATACAAAGAAAAGTACTTAGGGAGTGACCCAAGTGGCAAAGATTCAGACTTCTAAAAACATAACTACGGAAATAATTTAATATGATTCTCCTATCTGAAAAGACATTAGTTCATGGATAGATAGAAATCACACCAATAAAGTGGCTCTATTACCATAACTGATGTGGAATTCAGTGTGATCCTCAGGACAATATCAACAACATTCTTCACAACACTAGACAGCACAAACATAAATACATAAAGAAGCACCAAAGACCTGGAAAACCTCCAGCTTTCCTGAGCCAAATGAGCAACACCGGGGGAGTCACCCTAGCTGATCTCTAATTACACCGAGAGGCCAGAGAAGCAAAACTCTGCTGTATTCGGTCAGAACAGACGTGCATGTCGGTGGTTCAGAATGGGAACCACAGGCACCAGTGCAGGCAGCTGTAGCCATCTGATCCTGAGAAGGGAACGAAAGTGAAGGATGAAAGACTCACAGACTCTTTAGTAAATGAGGCTGGAAATACTGGATGTCTAGAGGTTGAAAATAGATTCCTATCAATTTCCCTGTGATCAAAGCAAAACAGATCAAAGATTACAGAGGGAGGTGGGGGGCAGATCTGAACACTTTGAAATTGTTGAGGGAAAGTACAGAAAAGATACTTGAAGCCAGGGACACATGAAAAGCCTCCCTGAATGGGACCCGATGACTCAGGAAATCATGTCAAGAATCAAACAAATGGGACTGGGTCAAAATAAAATATTCTGCAAGCAAAATAAACCAATCAAAGAGATCATCAACAGAATAGATGTCTCATTGCTAGCTCCTTTTCCATCAAAAGATAAATGTCTATAATATGGAAGCAACTCAGAAAAACGAAAAACCAATCAAACAAAAAGACCAATCAACAAACGAGAGCAATCCATAAACTGAGTGAACAGTTCTAAAACAGAAACACAGAAATGGCCAAGGAGTATGTGAAAAAAGGTGCAATTTCTTTAGAACTTTTGGAAATGCAAATCAAAACAATGTGAAATTCCACACCACTGCAGTGAGAAAGACTGACATGGGTAACAGAGGAGCACTGTGGATACTGGTGAGAAAGAAGGGCAAAGGACCCCAGTTTATGACGGGGATGTAACGCCCTGCAAAGCCAGCTGCAGGACTCCGTACGTCTCTGAAAGACCGGTAACAAGTGCATAGTGCGTTTAGAGCACGGTGGCTCAGGAGTGAATCAGAAGAAAGAGCAGAGATGCTCATAGACAGGTGAATGGAAACGGAAGGGCCACACGTGTACTCAGCTGTCAAGAAAAATGAAATAGCATTTATGGGCAAATGGATTGTATCGAACACCACAATATTTACAGAATAAGCCACTTCGCAAGGTTGCATATCACATGTTCATTCTTATTTGAGCAATGTAGGGAAGGAGAGATGGGAGAGCGAGAGTGTGAGAGAGAAAGAGGGAGAGAGAGAAAGCGGAAGAGGAAGAACAGGAGGAGAAGACGAGAAGAAAATAATCTTACAGATTGCTTCCTAGAAATGGGGAGGGCAATGTGGGAATAAGGGAGTAGGGGAGCGGATTTCAACAGGGATAAAAGAAATCAA